CCATAACTATTGCAGTTTTGCGAACGTTAGTTGATATTACTCATTATTTAAACAACCAATCGAAAAATTGATTATATTGCAGTACTACATATTCTCTCTGGAAACTCTGGAATTGCAAATTGTGTCCAGAATTATTGTTAATAAAATAAATACAGCATTTCGCCGTTCCTTCAATTTTACAAACAATTTAATAGTGTTATATCCTGTAGAAGAACAGTGAAGTTCATACATTAATCTTTCTAATTATAATGTAACGCTGTTATTTTTTCATCATTTTAATGCAATACTTTATATAATTGTTAGTTATATATTAACAGGAAGTAAACTGTTTTACTTCAAAAAGAAATTTTCTGTTCTAGTGTCAATGTAACTGAAAGATAAATTATTCATGACTTCAGCAGAACATTTTATTAGTTTAATTACTGTGGCAAGTGCAAAAAAACTAGCTACTGCACTTGTCCTTTGTTTTATTGTATATCATGGATTAATGCATCTTGTCTATGGTAAAAATGTTTATATTATTTAATCCCCTTTATCTGATTAAAATCATAAAACCATGTGATTTATTATTCATAATTTATACCTAATTATAATTAATTTATCTAGGTAGTGATTCTTGTAAGTGGTTATTAACAGAAGGAAGATACAAAGGAGATAAAGAATGGCAACCTTATGGTTGTATGATGCACTATTACACACAAACGTAAAAATTTAATGTTCATAATCTCAATGTTTATATGTGTAAACGATATTTTTTAAAAACATTATTTTGTACAGAGACAGTCGCAGATGTTTGAGATATCTAGCTTTCATGGGCCACCATAATCATTTTGTATTTATTGGAGATTCTAGAATTAGGCAATTGTATAAGTCTTTTATATCACAATTTATAGTTGATGGAAAAGCATCTGATCTAACAGAATTGCCAGCAAATTCTGATTTAAATTTTAATGATGCACAACTTAGACTCAATGTACAATTTTTATGGAGGCCTCAGTTGGATAATTTTATGATAGAAGACCTTAGAGGCTGGATGGTAATTTACTACTTTTAATATAAATACTTCTAAGAATTTTTAATAAGAATTAAATGTAGACATTAATGACCTTGTTACTTTTCAGAAAACTGATGCACCTAGCTTAATTGTTTCAGGCTGTGGAGTAATGACAATTCTTGCTAATAACAACAGTGATACTCAGTTGTATTCTGAGTATAGTATGGGATTAGTGAGACTTGTGCAACCAGTAGACTTTTTAGCTAAAAAAAATACAAAGTATTTATGGATGCTGCAGGATCCTGTATTGAAAGAAAGGCTACCAGCTCAATTATCAGGCATAGATAATAGACAAATTAATTTGTGTAATAAAGCAGCAATAAAGGTAGGTTTTGTTTTGTAAATTATTGAATAATTATTCTTTTAAAATACTAAATTATTTATATATTGGTCACACACAGATACTATCTCATAGTGAAGTTCATATATGGGAAAGCAGTAAACTTGTTGGTGCAGGTGTCTTAGAACAAAGTCCTGATGGATACTTAGCTAGTCCTCTATCTTTGCGGCACAAGGTTCAAATATTATTAAATACTTACTGCAATGATCATATGAATTTTGATGATGGTAGCTGTTGCAGTTATCCAGAACCAGCAACAACATTGCAACTATTAAGTTTGTCTGCACTTGCTCTGTGGTAATTGTTTACATATTGTTATATTATACTTCACGCAAATAGTAAGTAACAGTTCATTACAGTATAGTAATTGGTGGTGGAATGTGGTTATATAGAAAATTTTGTCATTATCGAACCGAAATTTCTTACTCACACGTTACCACTGTTGAAGTGGAAGATACAGAAGAAGCAAATACTTCTGAAGCTACACAGATTGAACAACCTGAAGTACAAGATTTTTATACTTTGATGACATCATTGGCTCTGTTGTCAATCATCTTAGCTTACTTTTATTTGTGTGATAGGTATATACAAGTTATTCTTTTTTATTTAAGACTATTGAAAATTGTTATTAATATATTTTTACTTATATTTAGAACAAATTTTTTTATGAAGGAGAATAAGTACTACAGTGAATTTAGTTTCTGGTTACCACTTGGATATATATTGGCTCTTGGATTATTTTTTACTGAAGATAGAGAAAGGGGACCAAGAACTTTAAACCGAGAACAAACAGATGAATGGAGAGGCTTAATGCAGGCTGTTGTGTTAATCTATCATGTTACTGGGGCTAAAAATGTTTTGCCTATTTATATGTATTTAAGATTAATTAACTCTGCTTATTTATTTATTTCTGGATATGGACATTTTTGTTACTTTTGGCAAACAGGTGATGTTTCCTTGGTGAGGTTTGCTAGAGTATGTATTACAAAACGTTGAAATATTAAATACTTATATACATAAGTTGCATGGTATATCTATGTGTTTCTTTACAGGTAATGTTTAGATTAAATTGCTTAACAGTGTCTCTCTGCCTTTGTATGAACAGACCATATCAATTTTATCATTTTGTACCATTGGTCTCATTCTGGTTTTTAGTCATTTATTTCCTAGCATGGCTACCACCAAGAATATATTCTGGTAGTCTGAATGAATATGGACCAAGAGCTCTATTGTACCTTGCTTTAAAACTTTTAGGTCTTGCATCAATGATCACAATATTATACATGTCAGAGGTATTCATTTATAAATTACCTTACATACAAAAATACATATTACAAAAATACATAATGTATGATCATGTAATAGGTTTTTTTTGAAAAAGTGTTTCTAACAAGACCTTGGAAAGCATTATTTGTTACAACCGATGATGATATACGTGAATGGTGGTCACGTTGGAGAGTGGACAGATACAGTGTGGCTTGGGGAGTTACTTTTGGGGCAGGTCTTGTAGCTTTACAAAGGATAGATCACATTCCAGGAACTGCATTATCCTCTTTACTGGCATTAATTTCTTTAACTGCTTACACTACTTTTACTATATTATGTCACTCCGTGTCGGAATGTGAAGAAATTCACTCCTATGTTGCTTTTATACCGGTAATGATCTATAAATTATAATTCACTTACGATAAACCGTAAAATTTAAGTAATATTTCAATTACAGATTATAGGGTATATAGCACTGAGAAATGCATCATTAACATTACGCGGAAAACATTCAGCTCTTTTGGCTGGTTTAGGTCGAATCAGTTTAGAAACTCTAGTCGCACAAGGTCACATTTGGTTGGCAGCAGATTCACATGGTGTATTAGTATTAATGCCCAGGTTTCCAGTATTAAATCTTTTAGTCACATCGTTCATTTTTATATGCGCAAGTCACGAAGTAAGTATTTAGATGTTCTTAATTTAAAAAATAACACGTTTATCTATAACAAACATATAACAATATTTCATTTACTTCAATAGATACATAGATTAACACAGGTGTTAGCACCATATGCAGTACCAAATGACTGGAGATTGGTAGCCCGTAATTTGTTATTATTTATTGCAGTTCTTGTACCAATAGGTATTCATGATGGAATGTTTTAAAAGAAATTTTATATTATTCATTGTAAGAAAGACATTTTTTGTACATGTAAATATCACGTGTAGTATATATATAAGTTTGTACCATTTTTTCATGCAAGCTACATGAAATAATAAAAAATCGTACGTACTTGGTTCTTTCTTACATTATTAATTTTTATAATATGGAAAATAAATAAGTAAAGAAAGAAGTTTTTTGCAACTAATTCTAATTATTCATATATTTACAAATTTTTTAAATTTACAAATAAGACCAGTACAATTTACAGTTGTTAAAGAAGTCAGTAATAAAAAATCAACAAGTACAGCAGAAATTACTGTTTTTAAAATAAAAATCTGTTATTTACATATTCAATTAGATAATTAGCCTATCTAGAAACAATTTGTTAATGTTTAGTATTTTTTGAATTGCATGTTCTGTTATCATGTTTCACATGACTAGTATAAACATCATAACCAAGAGATATAGTATTATCATAGAAAACCCTGTACTTATTTGGCAGGAAATAGAAATTGAAAACTTGTGCTGGTGGCCAAATAACCCATTCTGCTACATATAATCTATGTGCTTTTCTAAGAATTTCATCCTCTAATTTAGTCCAACTACTGTTTTCTAAAATGCCCAGTGTTAAAAAGAATATTGCTATGCAAAGTGGAGAACAGACTAATTGATCTATAGCAACCTTTCTTAGAACAATATTAAATGTACGACCTGGTAACCTAGCATCTAAATATTTATACCAATAGTGACAAACTATACCAATACACATGCCAGATATTGCCATATTCCTTGTTCTATTTAAGCTCCACTTATCCCATTTACCCTACAAAACAATTATAATAGAAATTTTTATCTGAAATTAAAATAAAAAGCATTAAACAAAATTGTTCTAATCAAGTACCTTTAATATTTCATATTGTTGTTCTAATACATCCCCCATAGCAGAAAGAGAAATGGATATAGTCACATTTGTATAAAGTAAATATTTAGGAGAAAATAAATGTAGGCTAATAGCAGGTAGTTTGTTAATAATTATACTTATATTTTTAGTAATATTCATTATCTAAAAGAAGCACAGTTTTAAGGTTATGTATTATTTAAAATAAACAGGTTGGTGTATAATTTTTGAAACATTTATGAATAAAAATTCAATCTATTAAAATAAATATTACAATTCTGAAACATGATAATGAATCAACTTACGATTAGTAGTGAGTATTTAATACAGTATAAAATACTGTTACAGATTTTTATCGATATTTATGATATTAACATTTTGTCACTAGCATAAAAGAACATTGTCATATACACATGTTTTACAAACTATTAAGCTTTTTGACATGATAACTTTATTAAATCAAATATCTGTTGTATTTAGTTTAAAGTTATTTTTAAAAACGAAATAAGTACACAGCTAATTTAGCAATTTGCCTACTATATAAAATATTCTGAAGTCCGAACGCTGCATTTATAATTATACTTTAGAAGACAATGTACATAAATAATGAGGACTATAAATTTTCATATATAAATATTAATATGGGTTATTATAATATGGGTTATAGATAAGCACATATTACATAAATGCCGAACAAGCAGTAAAAGAATGTAAAAGCGTAGATATGTTTATAGATGGTTATAGATATATTTCGTCTAGAAATAAAAAACAACCCCTAGATTTACTCACTGAATACTTTATATTTTTTTTAAATTATCCTACTTTCACCTTAAACTTCACACTGTATTATTATCTGGCATATTTTATATTCTTTCAATATAACGGAGCCATTGATATTATTTATCTTATTATATTTACAAGTGACGTAATTTACATAATTGTATTGAACTAAGAAGTTTATGTTTATAATTCGATGATTCAACGTAGTACATACTGATTGTCAACGATTATGAAGCCATATTTTAGGTATTCCCTTCAATGTATAAGCACAGATGAATCATTGTAAGAAGATATTATGATATTTAATAAATAAAATTCATTTTTTATTAAGATTATATATGTACAATTTGATAATACCAGTTATATTATTAACTTAAAGTAGCCAATTACATTTTTATTTCAGTACGTTTTAGGAAAGCTCATGATTGGTTATTGAATATCGTACTAGATGATTACTTCTGCTAAATATATTTTAAGTAACGTGTTGTTTTTTCATAAATAGTAAACTTTTCAATTACAGATCAGTTTTAGCGGCATTGTATATAAGTTGTAGCGAAAACACAATTATATATTTATATAAACTAGATGCAATATTTAAATTTCGCGCGTGAAGTATAGCGATAACATCTGTTCCTTCTATCTTGGCGCGTAAACTGATAAAAAAGGCGGGATCGTACGCGGCACTGTCATTAATGCTTACTGCCACAGTTAGGAGTCCGTAAGTAAGTGCAATAAGATTTTGAAAATTTTAACAGACTTTTGTAGGATATACACACTCACACGCACACATTATATATATTCGTATATAGAAAAATGTCCCAGCTGTCAGTAACGGCGTATTTTAATACGCGTAAACGACAAGCAACTGACGATATACGGAGCAAGGCAAAGGTTTTGCTTCTTGATCGAGATCAATCGACATCAGTGAGTAGTCAAAGTCGAACTCCAGTAAATAAGAATAATTCCGAATCATCCGGAGCACTAACTCCGGTTCAAGAAGAAAAAACAATGGGAACAAGTCCGAAAGTTGTTCTTATACCTGGTAAAGAGTTAGTAGGTAATCGTACTGCAAAGCCAAACTCAGCTGTTCGGAATATTCAATTTGATTCTCCTAAAGCAAATGCTCAAAAAACACCCAAACAGAATGTTCGAGCTCGAGTTACACGTTCACGGAAATTATCTGGACAAGAGGGGCAAACAGATATTAGGGAAAGTTTTCAAAAGATTGCAGAAGATGCAAAAAAAGTACTTTTTGAAAAGAAAGGAACATTGAGCCCAAAGAAGAAACATCCAGGAACACCTAAAAAAAATTATGCTTCTGCTGAAAACTCATCCACAAATGTTCAAAGTGAACAATTTTCAGTCAATTGCACTACACCTAAAAAAAGTTCAACCATGGATAGGTTGGTAAAAAAAGAGCTGTCATTCACTGAAATAAAAAGTAGAGTTAACAAGTCATCTAGACTTATGGAATTAAAAGCCTCTATTGCACGCTTCAAGAATTGCGAACAAAGATTGGAACAAGTGCAAAAACAGAATGACATTAAGAAACCTCAGATACAGAAGTTTGAAAAGATTCAACTTGAGATACCAGTTAGGTAAGATATTTATCAGAAGATAAGCTCTTATTTATCATATGTTTTAATTCAACTGTATTTATAATATTTGTGTTACCACTTTCAGCCCACCAAAAGCATATAAATCCCCCAGTAAAGCAATATTAAGCCCCTTGAAGAATAAACAATTATTAAATGCCAGTCCTCAAAAAAGAATTTTATTTGAACCTAAAGAATCAACTCCAAGCCCTGTGAAAAGTAGCCCAACTAAAACACCAGCTTATCAGCAATATTTATCTCTTGCTGAAAGTGGTGTTCCTACATTACCATTGCCGTATCATTATAGATTCTTGGCAGAAGGATTTAGATGTGTAGATACAGTATGTTGTTTATTATGTACAAAATTATTTCACTATTAATTTATTGTGTATTTGTAATTATATATTACCTAATCAATTTTGTAGGTTTCTGCAATGCTATTTAACCGTAAAGAAACAATAACATTCAAGAAATTAAAACCAGCAGTTCAAGAGTTATTACGCAAAAATTTCACATTGGAACATTTAGCACAAATTAAAACAATTTTTCCAACTGCATATATTTATAATCAGGAGAAACATCACACATTTGGTTCTATATCTAAACAAGATAAATATGAGATGATTCTCACACCTGCTGTTGAAGAAAAAAGTGGAAGAAATACACCAGATGCCGATGATGTTTTGAAAACAGCGGCTGAAGCTAGTATGGGACCACGAGTGTTATTAGATAGACGGAGGAGGTTTTACAACATCCTGCTCGGTATCGGCTTTTTTTTTAAATAAATATCGTCCACAGATTTTTTTCTTACATATTATAAATATCTTACTACATTTCACTTTTCAATTGCAGACAAAGTAAAGGACGAACATACAAAATTTTTACTCAGTTTAGAAACACCAATGCACGTACCAAAAGAAAAAATCATGCGCTGGCACCCTGAGTTTGATGTAGAAAGTTGTAAGCCAATTGAACAAGCTGATTTGCCACAACCACCTAATGTAGAAAAAGTGACAACTGCCAAAGATGTTCTTGGTATGAAATACGTCGTATACTTCTGATTTTAAATGTATTCTGGGTTTTAAATTAATATTAATTAACTTTCTTAGACAAGGCAAAATCACTGTTCAATTGTGGTACTCGTATGGAAAAAGCATTGCAGCGACTAGCCGAAGCAAAAATGACTTCGAAAACGCTTTCTCCACAAAAGAATGAAGTGGATAATTCAACACAAACTGAAGGCGGTATGCGGAAAGTTAATATTACTGTCGTGGATACTCCGCCTGCTACACCTACTATGCAAATTAATCATATTACTTCAACCCTTAAAGGCATACCAAAGGCCCTCCTTGAGAAGGTAAATATGTAGTTTTGTGTCAGAATTTCTCATAATATTTAATGTCTTTTTCGTTTATTTTTTAACATAATGTTTTTTATTATGTTAGGTTCGAGCTAGACAAGCTGCTAAAGCATTAGAAGCAATGACACGTACACCTAACGTCGAGAAAAAAGCTATAATGTATTCAAGACTACCGGAGTTAGTTAAAGTTTTGCGTAATATTTTTGTTGCTGAGAAGAAGGGAGTTTTACCAATGGAATTTGTTATTACAAAATTAGAGAATTCGTACAGAGCGAAATTAACTACGACTGAATTAGAGGAGCATATACGTTTGTTGTGTACACTAATACCCACATGGACTAGTATACATAATGTACGAAAAATAGATTACTTAAAGTTGCAAAAAGAAATTGATCTTGGGAAGGTGGTGAAAAGATTAGAAATTTTGGCTAATAACAAAATTACGGCGTCATGATGTTGAACTTACAGATTCTCTTTCTTTTGAAGATGATGATGTATACACAAGTTATCATCTACGCAATTTAATTATGAGGATAACATCATTTATATTTTACAATGTATATGCTACAAACTATGAGCGCACGATATATTCAGTGAATTTTTTTCTACGAAGTAGTTTAGTTTTTGTAAGGAATGTATGTCAATCTTTATTTTTTCTCGTTCTTGAGATAGTTCATTCTATATTACACATAAATTGACTACTTGTTACATTTTCCAAATAAATTTATAATGTCTTTATAAAATATTCGTATTATATTATGATAATACAATTTTCTAAATAATAAATGCATATACTTTATCTGTTTTTATTTTAGCATTACTTTAAATAGCACGTCATTTATTTGCTATGCACTGCCAAAACATGTAATAGAAATATATGTTGTAAAATGTCATAAATAATTATTTAGTTTTTTCTTTTCGTATTTTATTTATTAAGTAACAAATAAAAAATAATAATCAGTCATTTAATGTTGCGAAAAATTATAATGTTGATAAAAGTAATATCTTATTATTCTACAAATGGAAAGTCCAATGTATCTTTCATTTCCAACTGACGATAAAGTAGTCCGCCAAGATGATTTAAGTTCCAATACTTCGTAACCTTATTTCACAAAGTTATTAATATATATATTTACAAAAGTATAGTGGTATAAATCGAATTTTATACATAGTTATAATTAAGAATTATGTTTCTGACAAATGTGTTACTCAAAAAAGCGAAATCCAAGTGAGTATGTTTAAATTTGTATTTAATCTAGCATTAAATGTAAAAGTTAGGTTAGTTTGCACTGATGAAACATTTGTGCGTAATATATTATTTCTTTTCATTTAATATTAATGTTGTAACGTTTACTTAAAAGTAGTAATTCATCGATAAGAATATTTTTTTATGTGCACATATATATAAATTCTGTTATAAAATAATAAGTACAACTTAGCATTGTCTTTTGTTTATAGACTTGTTTTGGTATTACTAGAAAGTGTAGCAAGTGGTCATAAACGTGTACGTTTTCGGGAAAGATTAGCTGATAAGCAAGAAATAACATTGTTTGATCCTTATGGTAAGTTGATATTATAATTTTAAAAAGTTGCATAAATATTAGTTAACTATATATTAAACACAATTTCATCCCTTCTTCAAACTCATATTATTCAAATCGTGTAAATCTTAATAGTCACACGTCCACTTAAAACTGTACAATAAATAAAACATAAAAATTGAAGTAGTATATGCAAGTAATACAATTAAATCATTAAAGTTCTATATTTTCAGTTCAAGATGTTGTGCTCTACCGGGAAATAAAGAAAATTAAAGGTATAGGGCCCTAACAAGCAAAATGAAGCTGTAAAAATGTATCAAATAAAATACCAATTTTAGTTTAGAATTAATGACAGTACTTGGTGTATCATTTGATTCACTACTTTCAAAGAACTAGAATCATTTATGTATATACTCTGTACAAAGGAATCGATCCTTACGCGAAAAACAATGAGATGTCATCGTAAGTGGTTTTGAATAAAGCGTACGGACATTAGACGTTTTGCACGAGTTATGCGTCTATTTGTGTGTACATCGAAAGGAACAAATCAGAGCAACAGAGAAGAAAGGAGAAAGGGAAACGGAGGACCTCGAAATCGAGATTGGGGTAGGTTTCCTTTGATCCTTAACAAGGAACGCAAAGTTGTATTATTTCCACCTGGATTTCAAACGGTTTGAAATTCACGAGGCGTGAAACACGGTTCCATTCTCTCTCTCTCTTTCGCCTACCCCTTCCCTGAGTTGCGTTCTTTTACCCTGTTCCTTTTCGTTCTTCACTCCTTTTTGGCAGTGCGGGGGCAACTCGGCATCGTTTACTGATGTTGCCAATTCAATTTCTCCCGAGGAACCATTGTCGTGGGCAAAAGGAGGGTTGCAGTCGCGAAAAGGGCCCCGTTCTCGACCGAATCGTCTCTATCTTTCACGATTGTGCACGCGACAGCTCCTGACATCTACATCTTCCGCGTTTCTTCTTTTATCTCAAGCAAAACTTTTAAACGTACAGTGTTTTTCTTTGCTTCCTCGATAAGCATTGAAATGAAGAAATTTTTTTATTTTCTTAGATAATTTACAAATAACGATTGAATCGAATGTAATTTTAAATCGTCTCGAATTTTAAGACTGGTTTCGTGAAATTCTACGGACTCCATTTACGTTCCCGATAGTATTTTTAGTTCTTCGCAGCATGTAAACGGTCAACCGGCAATTAAAGTGCTCTACATCGGTTATCCCCATGAAAAAGGTTAGACCCTGAAGGGAGAAAATTAATTCTCAGAACGGAGAAACTAAGCATGGAAAAATCACGAAACAAATGAACCTTCGGTGCGGAGCGCGTTTTTTCTGGCACAATGAATTTCGAAGCAGTGCGCAACAGCGAAATTGTTAAAACGTCCGTTGTTTATGGTTGACTCGGCAGAGCAGCCGGTAAAGGAGGAAACAGTACGCAACGAAAAGCGCGCCGGAGAGTTGGGAGGAGTGCGAGCGGAAAGAAGAAAGGGCGAGAAAAGCAAAACAGAAACGAAAGGAAAGGAGAAAGCAAGAAAGAGAGGGGAAGAGAGAGAGAAAGAAAGAGAGAAAAAGAGACTCGTCTGGGCCTTGGCGCGTTTCAGTTGCCTCGCGTTCGAGGGCGTTTTTCGCCCGTGAGTTGTTCTTTGCTTATTACAGTGTGTGCACTGGGCTCGAGCTCGCTAAGTGGTTTGCTGCTAATTAACTGCGTTATTTTTACAACTCTCTTGCTCCCATCCACCTCCCACGTTTCCTTCCGCCCCCTTTCCCTCTTTCCTTCCCCCAACTGTTCTCTCACATTTGCAATGGGGTTCAATAATTCTGCGGTCGCAACGCCCTCTCTCTCTCTCTCGCTCTCTTTTCGCGTTTCTTATGTATGCATTTTTTACGCCTACGTCCTCGATACATCTATTTTTACTGTTTACATATAGAAGAAGAAATTTGATCATATTCGACATTTATCATTTTATTAGAATCATATCTTAATATTTTACATTTTATTATTTTATATTTGAAAAAATGTAAATCAACGTTTACAGTAGTGTTTAGAATAAAAAGTGTATTTATTTATTTGATGAATATTTCTTATCTTTACTAGATTATTTTTTGCGCTTGGCGGTTATACGAACGCGAATACAAAATAAAACGTGTACGAGGATATTCCTAAAAAATAGTTCTTTCCACGGGCTTTTTTTGCTCACACTTACTACTACCTTAGTACC